CTGCCCGCGCTCCCTCCTGTGCCCGGCCTTCCGACCCTCAGGCAACAGCGTGTGGGATCTGATCTATTCGGTGATCTTCCTGCTGCTCGTCCCGCCGGGTGCCTTTTACCTGTGGTACCTGCGCGCATATCGCGCCCTGCAGCATGACAGCGCCCTGCAGTTCTGGATCTTCTTTGCGTCGGGCGTGGTGAACATCGGCTTTGCCCTGTACGGTGTCCTGGGCCCCTACAAGACCGGCGCCGTGGGCATCATCAACATGATCCGGCTGTTCGACAGCGGGAAGATCGGCGGCGGTGTGGTGGCCCTGCTGTCCACCGTCGGCTGGGTCTTCTGGTCCATCCTCTCCTTCCTGATTTTCACCTCCATGCTGCGCCGCTACCGCGAGCGTGGCCACACCTTCCAGGAGGTGCGTGCACTTTTTGTTTGGGCCTCTGTCTCCTCTTTGCCTCCCTCCCCTGCTCTGGGGCCTCCTCCACGCACCGTCCGTGTACCTGGGTGGGAGCATGTCCCCTCCCCACCGGCCTCACTGACCCGACCCCACCCTGCTTCGGATCGTGCCCCTTCCTTCCGCGGCACATGCCTGCGCGCGAATAGGCCCGCAACCAGGCCATGACCAAGGCCGCCACCAATCCCGACGTCCAGAGCGCCGCCCTTACCGGTGCCACGGCCGCGGCCCAGAGCTACTATGTCTAAAAGCAGGAGGGCCTGGCAGGGGCACTGATCGTCCCCCCTCCCCCCTTCTCGATGCGCAGAACGTCCCGGTGGTGAGCACCGTGCGCGCCCGCGTGCCCACTATTTTTTGGGCAAGCCAATAAAAACAATCCCTCTGATCGAGGTCAGCCCACTCGTCGAGAGGGGGCAGCGGGGTCGGGCTCGCGCAGACACCTGCATTCGAGGGGGGTACCTTCGGCCGGCGCCGACCCGGGGCTGAGAGTCTCAGGAGGTTCTGATGACTGAGGGGCCAACGGTGAAATTGGCGCACCCAGTGGCAGATGCTTCCTCCCCAATGGAATGCTATTCTACTCCTAGTACCAACGCTTGGGCTGTGCCAGGGAGCTTTTCTGGCCCCCCTCTCTTGAGGGGGAGCCCCTCGCGTTTTCCGTAGGTCCACGCATCCATCCTGCCCGGCGCGAGGTGTGCACCCGAGAGGGGGAGGGGGGGAGAGCAGGGAGGGAGACGGGCCATTGTTGGGTGTCGCCCGGGCGGGCGACGCCATGAACGCACGTTCATTTGGGCCACCACGGCCAGGGCCCGTGCTGCCGGGCGGCTTTCCCTTTCTCCAAAGAAGACCCCCCCCCCCCCCCCCCCCCCCCCCCCCCCCGTCCCACCCCCCCCCCCCCCGCCCCCCCCCCCCTTGCAAAGTATATATCCCCCACGCTTGATCCACCCGACTGAGTATCGCCACGCACCTAACCCGACACCCGATTTCCTGTCCTCCTTTCTCCCCATCGGACTTTGCTTTGTCGTCCTGCCCTGGCACCGTTGCCGGCAGTTCATCATGGCCGAGTATGTATTCTATTGCACTATTCGCCTCGACTCTCCTGCCCAGCGCTGACCCCTTGGCTTTTTTTTCCTCCCCCCCTTTTTTTAGCATGTCTGGTTCCCCCGGTGCCAATGAGATGACCTTCGAGCAGATCAAGGAGACCGCCCTCTTCCAGATGCAGATGAACATCGTCCAGACCCTGACCTCGGTATGTCCCATCTCTCTGCCCTTCGCTCCCCCTTTTCCTTCCTCCCTCTTCCTCCCCCCGTCCATCCCGCGCAACCCCGGTCCCCAGCTCACGCTTTCCCGGCTCCCCCTTTCAGGCCATCTCCGACAAGTGCTTCGAGCGCTGCGTCACCAAGCCTGGCTCCCGCCTGGACTCCAGCGAGACCGTACGCCATCCAGTTTTCTCTCTCTCTCTCTCTCTCTGCCTTTGATCGTTCCTTGAGAAATGCACACCACTCTTTCCCATCGGGGCCGTCCTCTGACTCGCTTTCCCCCTACCTCCTGGTTTGTGCTCTGTGCTCTGTGCGCAGTCCTGCGTGTCTCGCTGCACCCAGCGTTTCCTGGAGGCCCGCTCCATCGTGGCTGCCGCCTATGTCAAGGCCAGCTCTGCCTCCCGCGAGTTCGAGTAAGTCTCCCCCCCTCCTCCTCCCCACCTGCCTTACCGTGCCGCCCGGTTCACTCCATTCCCCATACTCTTTCAGCCCTGCTCTCCTGCCATCATTTTCCTCCCTGGCCGACTGAAGATAAATCACCACTTTCCAATCTATGTGTCTATCTATTCCTGCGAAGAGGAGTAGGGGGGGGGGCATGGGGCGAGGAAGAGAGGGGAAGGTATGTCGAGGGGAACCTACGTCGATGGGCTGTCGTCCAGCGCACGTAGGGCTCGGCGCACCCGCGCTAGCAGATCCTGCGGAGGCGGGGTCAAAGCGAGGGGGCACCGGCCGAGGGGGGGGGGGGGGGGGGTCAGTAAGCAGCATGGCCGCTGGTCGACGGCAGCCAGTGTGGGGGAATGGTGCCAAAGCACACGTACCACCGCACGCCAGAGGGCACTGTCAATGAAGCTGGCTCCTGGATCGGCGTAAACATAAAAGCTGTCGGGCAGAGCATGAGCCGAGCGCAGGACCTCGATATCGGAGCAGGGCCCAAGCGGAGGGGCCCCATCACCGCCGAAGCTGGATCCGCGGCCGCCCTGCAGGATGAAATAGTTCTGTCTATGGGCGTAGCTTTGCTGCACCCGGCGCCAAGTGCTGGAGGTCCACCGCAGGGGCCCGGCACTTTGGGCCGCGTCCAGCCCGGCCACCGAGGGGATGAGCAAATGCTGGTCCACCCAGGTGACTGACAGGTCCCATGAATACTGGACCAGCAGGAGCAGTTGCAAGAGGAGCTGCCGCGCGGCGGCCACCACCTGGCCCGGGGGCCCGAGGGTGGGATCCGGCTCGCAGGAGGCCAGGCTGGCCGCCTTGGTGGTCCCATCCGCGGTGCCGCTGTTGGGCGGGGTGGCCACGGGGCCGGCAAAATGCCCGGCCTTGGCATTGTGCCGGCCACTGAAATAGGCGTCGGTGAATTCGCTGAAGGTAACCCGTCGGTCTTCCTGATATGCCGGGGCCGGGGGTGCCGGCACGGGGCCAGGAGCAGCGGCCGTCGGATGCCGGGAAGATGGCAGGCAGGCGCCATCAAAAAGGCACGGACACTGAGCCCGATGGCCCCGGTAGCCGGAGAGCGATTGGTAGATTGGCCGCGCGATCGTGTGGAAGAAGGAGGAGAAAATCCCGGGCGAGGTGGGGGACAGGACGGCCGGGCGTCGGGCCGGGCCGCCGGGAGTGGTCGGTGCGACCAGGCTCGAGGTGCTTTGAGGCTCGACCGCGGGCGACAGGCCAAGCCCCCGATCGCAGCAGTCACAGGGAGCCCGGTCGGCGGGCGGGGGGTTGGCCGAGATCGCCCTGCGGACAGCATGGTCATAGGGCGGCGGCGGGGAGGCGATTAATGGGACAGCATGTCGGTACTGCTGTCCCTGGAGAGCGGACACCGGGTGGTCATGGCCGAATGAGGGGGAAATTGTGGGACCAGCGGCCTCGGCCGGTTGATCGGCCGCCTCGAACAGCTGCAGGGCCTGGAATTGGTTTGAGCGCATCTTCAGCTCGTTCAGCACGGCGTTGTATTGCTGAAGGATCTCGATGCGCTCGACGACGGCGGCGATGACACTTTCGACTGTCGCATGGTCCGGACCAAATGCCAGGCAAACAGGGAGAATTGTGGATCAAGGTCAGGGATCCATGGGGCCTTGTGTGTGCGTGTGCGTGCGTGCGTGCGTGTGGTCAGGCAGGCAAGACAGGAGATACATACACTGTGCGGACTTGGAGTGCGCGCCGGCATCCGTCGACAAGATCTCCAAATAGACCTCGGTCGCCTGGTGCAGACAACCGAAAGCCACATCAAAATGCGCAAGGTCCACCTGCAGCAGGAACTCCGAGAGGAGGTGTGAATCGGCATTGGCCGGCTCCTGGGCGGCCTCCTCGAAGGCGCGCTGGAAGTGCCTCTCAGCTGCGTCGGTCTGGGCAGGTGTGGAGAAGGGGAAGAGGCGCTGGGCCTTTGCCCGGCAGGCGGCCTGGAGAATGTGCTCCGGGATCAGGACAAATGCCGCAGATTCATGGGCCACCGCCTGGTCCATGCACTTGCCGAAAAACTTCGGCAGCGAGAAGGACATGGCGGTGGGACGGAAGAAGACGATGGGACTTCAGTGGGGAGGGGGCGCAAGGGAAAAGCAGAGCTGG